GGAGGAGGAGGAGGAGGAGGAGGAGGAGGAGGAGGAGAGGAGCACGGGGCGACGTCTCTTCAAGACGATGACCCAACACCACAGGACGGTTGGGAATGAGGGAACCCCCAAGATTGGCATCGTGACGAGGCGATCCCCAGCACAGGGCCAGTGATATGTTCCAGGCTGGCAACAGTCGAGACAACGGCGCCTCTCCCGGTCGCCCCCTCCCGACCTGCTGTCCGCAGCGGCTCCGGCCGCACGGCGACGAGGAGCCTCCCGGGGGGGGGGGCCCAACCCAAGGACGAAGACCGTCCGGGAGGGCCGCCGTTTGCCTCGGCGGGCCCGCCTCCGACATCTCGAGGAAACGCAGGCATGGACGCGGGTTGGCCTCGAGTCAGGCCTGTCCCTCTGCAGGAGGGATCGTCAATAATAGCCAGGACAGAGCCACCAGGGGACAGTTGTCTGACTAGGCTTCACTGTGTTTGACTGCTTCTTGCTTTGGTTTAACTGTTCATATCTTTCTCTAATTATTCCGTCACAAATCCCCCTGGGAGGACATCTCCGACTTACGAAAGGCGGCGGGCCCCGTCTCCATCCTGGGGCGGTGCGCTCTGCCGCCAGGTCGGGTGGCACCGGCCTCGTGGTTCGAGGGGGGGAGCCTTCCCTCGCGGATCCGTGCAGCTGGCGCCCACGCGTCAGATCCACGGCTCCGTGACTCGTCCCTCCTCCGCCTCCTCCGCCTCCTCCTCCGCCTCCTCCTCCGCCTCCTCCTGCTCGTCGTCCTCCTCCTCGCCCTCGTTCTCCTCCTCCTCCTCCTCCTCCTCCTCCTCCTCCTCCTCCTCCTCGCCCTCGTTCTCTTCCTCCGCCTCCTCCCTCGAGCGCCCGGGAAGTGGAGGAGGGGGGCGGGAGGAGCGGAGCGGCGCGCGCACCGTCGGTCCCACGTCCTGGGCCCTCGAGGGCAGCGCGGGCGGGCCGGGGCCCGGGGGGTCCCGACGCGGCACTGGCGCACGTCAGCTCGCGTTGGGGAGGAGGAGGAGGAGGAGGAGGAGGAGGAGGAGGAGGAGGAGGAGGAGGGAGGAGGAGGAGGAGGAGGAGGAGGAGGTGGAGGAGGTAGAGGAGGAGGAGGAGGAGGAGGAGGAGGAGGAGGGGGAGGGGGAGGGGGAGGGGGAGGGGGAGGAGAATCGAGAAAAGGAGGCGTCGGAGAGGTGAGAACCCGTGCCAGCAGGGAGTTGGAAATGGAAGCGAGACCACTGAAGCGGGACTTCGTCCCTGTAGGAGTCAGAGAGGAGGGAGGGGGGAGGTGAGGGAGTAAGTAGGGTGTGCCTGTACAACTGCTCTGCGGTCGGGAACTTTGGCTCAGCGTGTCGATCCGCTGGTTCTGGCCGACCACGCTTTGGCGCGACACGCTAACCACGTCCCGGTGCCCGAACGTCAACGCCCCGAGTCTTTCCCAGCCTGCCGTTCCGCGGAGCGGAGCGCCACGCTATCCGCTTGCAGGGCGTGGCGTGTCGCTGGGGCCGCCGCGGCGACACGCTAAGCAAAATTGCTGCGTGATATCTGGCCCAAACCAAACCTCAGGGCCGGTATTTGAGGTCGCCGCGGCGATCGCGGCGGGTTTTGTTCGACAAGGCGTGGCATGCCCCCTTCCAGCCCTCCCTCCGCCCTGCGAATTAGACGTGGCTCATAATCAATTGGCGTTTCACAGAGAGGCTATGACCTGAACGTTCGCGCCTTCATGGGAACGGAGACTGATCCGAGAGCGAGCGTGAATCGACAATACAATCGAAATCCGTTCATAATCAATAATCTACAGCGAAAGAGAGTTGTCAGTTGATGGGTCAGCAGTTGATGCGCGTGACAGCCATGTTGTTCGCAGCCACGCTGCCCGCTCTCTTGGCCCTCGTTCTCTTGGTCCCCGTCTCCTTGACCTCTTCCTCCCCCTTCCTCTGCACGGCTTTGCGGCCAGTATCTCGGCCACCCTCGCAGGACAATCCACCTGTCATGTAGCCGCGAGCGTGCATGCTGTTCGTTGTCGTGCCCGCTCCTCCCTCTTCCAACAAAAAGGTGTTGCCAGTTCATGTCCAACAGGTGCAGCCATTTTGTTATGTCAGAGGTCGATGTATTATTGTCAGCCCGCATAACCTCAAGAAGGCATTAAGAACCCCCTTTCCGGTGGTTTATAACGCCCCCGCACCCTGGAGCGTTATGGCTGCACCGGAGGACCTGGTTGCGGGGACTCGGAGCGTAGCTAGGGCTTCGCAGGGCCTAGTAGTGCTAGGCCTTAGCAGGGCTCCGCAGGGCTCAGCAGGGCTCAGCAAAGCTCAGCAGGGCTTAGCTGGGCTTAGCAGGGCCTAGCAGGACTGACCAGGGCTCCGCAGGGCTGAGCAGGGCTTAGCAAAGCTTAGCAGGGCTTAGCAAGGCTTAGCAGGGCTTAGCAGGGCTTGGTAGGGCTTAGCAGGGCTTAGCAGAGCCTAGCAGGACTCAGCAGGACTTAGCCGGGCTTAGCATCCTTCCCAAGGGTACCCTTGCATCCTTTCCTTCGGCCCATCCCTGGCCGCTGTTGCTGTCCGCGCCCCGCCCCCAACATCGTCGACATGGCCTTCCATCCTTATCGCGCATCCTTATGATACGGGTTGACTGTACACAGGGAGGAGGAGGAGGAGGAGGAGGAGGAGGAGGAGGAGGAGGAGGAGGAGGAGGAGGAGGAGGAGATGGGGGAGGGGGGGGGAGGAGGAGGGGGAGGAGGAAGAGGAGGAGGCGTACGTAGCAGGAGGAGGAGGAGGACGAATTGGAGGAGGAGGAGGAGGAGGAGGAGGACCACGTCCATGCCAGGAGGCTGCTCGGCGCGGGCGGCGCGGGCCTGGCGCCTGGCAGCGCGCGGCCGCGGGGCGGCCCAGCGGCAAGCGTCGAGGAGGCCGCGCCGTCGGCGTCGTGGGCGGAGGGGGAAGAGGAGGAGGCGGAGGAGGAGGAGGGTCACGAGAAAGAGAGAGGGGGAGAACGAGGAGGCCTTTTCTGGAGCGCCTCGTGCGCAGTTGCTGCGAGAGGTCGGGCGCCGCCCTGAGAGCCGCCGCAGCCGGGCGGGCGCGGCGGGGGGGCTGGGAGGGGCAGCGCGCACTAGGGGGCGGCGTGAGCCACATCGCCGATGATTTGTTGTTGTTTGTTTTTTGTTTGTGTGTGTGTGTGCGTGTGTGTGTGTGTGTGTGTGTGTGTGTGTGTGTGTGTGTGTGTGTGTGTGCGCGTGCGTGTGCGCGTGCGCGTGCGTGTGCGTGTGCGTGTGCGTGTGCGTGTGCGTGTGCGTGTCCGTGTGTGCGTGTGCGTGTGTCCGTGTGTGCGTGTGCGTGTGTGCATGTGAGGGCGAGGAGGAGCAGGAGCAGGAGCAGGAGGAGGAGCAGCAAGTACAGATCGCTTGCCCGGCAGATCGCCGTCTCCTGGCCGTTCCACTGGCGGCCCGCGGCCCTGGCCTGTGGCGGCGGGCGCGGCGGCCCGCTGCGGCTGCTCGCCACCGACGGCGTGGCGCTGCTCTCCGCGGACCTCGCGGCGCCCGCGGGCCAGGCTCGGAGCGGCCGCCGCCGAAGGAGGAGGCAGGAGGAGGGATGAGGATGAGGATGAGGATGATGATGATGAGGAGGAGGAGGAGGAGGATGAGGATGATGATGATGGTGATGATGATGATGGTTGGTGATGATGGTGATGGTGATGATGCTGATGATGCTGATGGAGGTCATGATGGTGAGAATGCTGATAATGCTGGTGATCATGATGGTAATGGTGGTGACAACGATGATGATGATGATGATGATGCTGATGATGATGATGACGATGATGACGATGATGATGATGATGATGCTCGTAATGAGCATGATGATGTTGATGTTCATGTTGATACCGGCGATGCTGTCGATGAGTGTGATGTTGTTGGTAATGATGACGATGTTGATGTTGATGCTACGGATGATGGTGATGGTGGTGATGGTGATGATGCTGATGGTGATGATGTTGATGATGGTGTTGCTGATGATGACGATCCTGATGCTGATGATGGAGATATTGGTGATGGTGATGATGATGGTCATGATACTGATGATGACGACGATGATGATGCTGATGTTGAGAAGGAAGTTGATACTGAGGTTCTGGATGATGCTGACGACGATGATGATGCTGATGATCATGATGATGACGACGATGCCGATGTTGATGATCCTGATGGTGATGATGCTGATGATGATGACGATGATGATGATGTTGATGATCATGATGATGATGCTGTTGGTGGTGATGACGATGGCGATGATAATGCTGATGATGATGACGCAGCTGATGTAGTAAATGATGATGATACTAATGATGATGAATTCGATGATGTCGATGATGCTGATGATGAGGATGCCGATGATGACAATGATGCTGAAGACGATGATGATGATGGTGATGATGATGAGGGTGATGATGATGATGATGATGATGATGATGACGGCGATGATGATGTTGATGCTGATGATGATGGCGATGGTAGAGGCCCATGACGATAACAATGGTGATGAATATGTTGATGATGTTGTTGATGATGCTGACGATGATGGTGATGTTCATCATGATGAAGATGCCGATGCTGTTGCGGATGATGACGATGATGATGAGGGCGTCGATGCTGATACTGCTGATGATGATGTCGATGCTCATGATGATAATGTTGATGATGATGCGGATCATGATGCTGATGACGATGACGATGATGATGATGTTGCTGCTGATGATGGTGATGACGATGATGATGACGATGATGCTGATGAGGCTGCTGCGGATGACGATGAGGATGATGGTGTTGTTGATGATGCCGATACTGGATCTGATGATGAAGATTGTGTTGACGACGATGATGACGATCATAATGATGATGTTGATGAGGACGCTGTTGCTGAAGATGCTGATGTTCATGATGATGCTGATGATGATGATGCTGACGACGACGTTGCTGATGCTGACGGGAATGATAGTATGGTTGTTGATTACGGTCTTGATGCGGATGATGATGGCGACAATGGTATTGATGATGATGTTGATGATGATGACGATGCCGGTGGCGATCATGCTGACGATGGCCATGATGACGATGATCTTGATTGTGTCCAATATGATGATTATCGTGATGCTGAATTCATCGATGATGATGATAATGAGGCTGATGCTGATGATGATACTGATGATGAACGAGATGGTGCTGATGATGGGGATGATGATGATGATGATGTTGGTGAGGATGATGATGGCGATGATGCTGCAGTTGATGTTGATGATGCCGATGCTCATGATAATGAGGTTGACGATCATGAGGATGATGATAGTGATGACGCTGATGTTGATGGTGATGGTGATATGGATGATAAGGATGTCGATTTTGATGGCGACGATGCTGATGAGGGCGATGATGCCCATGATCATGATATAGATGGTGATGGTGATGGAGATGTTGATGATGATGAGGATGGCGACGATGATAATGATCTAAATGGCGCTGGCGTTGTTGCTGCTGCTGATGATGTTGCTGACAATGTTGGTGACGCTGATGATGGTGATGCTGTGGGTAACTGCGGGAATACTGATGAAGATGATTATGTTGATGCTGACGTTGATGCTGATATTGACGATGAGTATGACGATGATTATGATGCTGAGGATGCGTGTGACGACGACGATGGCGATGATGATGACGTTGATGACGATGACGACGATGGTGACGATGGTGATGCCGATGGCGATGGCGATGACGATGGCGACTGTCGATGATGATGATGCTGATGGTGCTGATGATGATGAGGATGATGATGATGATGATGATGATGATGATGATGATGATGATGACAATTGCGATGATGAGGAGGGCGATGATGATTGTGATACTGCGATGATGAGTTTGCTAATAGTAACGATGATGATGCTGATGAGGATGATAAGGTGGATGATGATGACGATAATGACGATGATGATGGCAATAGCGATGATGATGAGGATGATCATGATGATGATGCTGTTGATTAGGATGACGATGATGATAATGATAAGGATAATGATAGTGTAGCTGATGATGATAATTATGACGACAATGGCGATACCAATGATGATGATCATGGTGATGATTGTGATGGTGATGCTGATACTGATGATGATGAGGGTGATCATGATGAGTATGATGATGATGAGTATGGTCCTGATGCTGATGAGGATGATGACGACGATGATGACATGATGATGATGATGATGATGATGATGATGATGATGATGATGATGATGATGATGATAATGATGATGACGATGATGATCAGGATGATCAGGATGATGAGGATGATGAGGATGAGGATGAGGACGGGGATGCGGATAAGGATGAGGATAAGGAGGAGCAGGAGGAGGGGGAGGAGGGAGGGGGGACAATGGATGAGGAGACGAATGAGGATGGGGATGGGATGAGGAGGAGGAGGACGAGGAGGAGGAGGAGGAGGAGTGAGTTGGGAGGAGAGAGGAGGAGGGAGGAGGATGAAGTGCTTGTTGATGGCTCCTGCTGCAGATGTGAGTGGGAGGAAGCATCTGGCTCAGGGGTCGCCTGTGTGCATGCAATTGTCAGGACAGACTGTCGTCCGTGGAGTGTACTCTCCTTAGCTTTCTGAATTCGACCAAACGTCTGGGGTGGCAGACCACAGTTGCCTTGCACTTGTTATACTCTGTCGAGGGTTGTATGGGTCCAGTCTCCCCCCCTACTCCAATGGTTGTTGATTATCAAGGTGTGCTTGCAGGGCCTCGCAGTGCTCCTTCTTTTGGAGAATGGAGTCGGCGCATAGGTGAATCTCAGTGCCTTTGTAAAGTCAAAGCCCACAATCCATGGACCAGTCTTTGGATGATCTTTTCCGTGCCCTTGTTGCTGGGTCCACTGCCGTGGATTGGTTGACTAAGCAGGGGGCTCAAACCAATAACTTCTCTGCAGCAGAGCTTCAGAACTTCAATCGTGCAGGCGGTGAGTATCAGTACGTAGCTGGTTTCTGGTAGTCTGTGGTATCATGTTTTCTGCTTGCCCAGCTGCAGCTTGGGATTCTCAACAGGCTTCCTCGAGCCCCGAGGGTCCGCGGTACGATCCCACTGGCACTGGAGGGGGTGGGGCCTGCAGCGTCTGGCGCGCTTCAGAAAGGCCCTCGCCTCTGAGGATCGAAGGGGTTGGCATCTTTTCCCCGGCGGACGGCCGGCGGAAGGCGGCGGAAGCAAGACGAGGGCGCCTCGGCCGGCGCAAGCCGGCGGATGCCGGCAGACGGCCAGCGGAATTGACGAGCAGTGCGCCCCCAAGAGGTGGAATTTTGTGTCGGGGGCAAGGCCCCCAGACCCCCGACAGCGCATTCTGTTCAGAACGTCGACCCCCGAGAGGTCTCGACCCTTTTTACATGAAGAAGAATCTTGGGGGGGCCCGTGCGGCGCGCAGTAGTTGCATTATCTAGTCCACACGTCGGTTCCGTAAGCTATGGGTCGACGTTCGCGCGGCGATGCTCCAGCGTTTGTCCGACGTAAGTCCGACGTAAGTCCGACGTGATCTGACGTGAACCCGACGTAAATCCGACGCAGATCCGACGTAAATCGGGACTCAAGTTGCCGCGCGAGGCTTCCAGGATCAAGTTCATAACATTCCCCAGGTCCGGTTTCTCCTTCTGAGTCGTTGTTTGACGGCCCCGAGGCCCGGTCGTGGGGCGACGGGCCACTCGCATTGGGAAGGGGGGCGGGACGTGAAGCATATATCCCCACCCAGGTTTCTTTTCGACCTCTCCGATTCGATTCGATGTGGGTTCGATGGCTTCCGATTCCGATTCGATTCGACTTGGGATTCCGATCTGGATTCCGATTTTTCGGCGCCTGCCGACTTCTTCTGATTCGGTTTCTCCCGACTCTGCTGCCAATCTTCGCCGATCCGATCACTTTCGGTCGCCGATCCGATTTATCGATTCGATTCTGGGCACTGGGCCCTCCTGCTACCCAGGTTCGGGTGTCGCTAGAAGTGCCCCTGGCCCAAGGTGCCCCCCCAGGATTTCCACTGAGGCCCCCACGGCTTCCAGAGCATCCCTCTGGGCCTCGTGAGGGGGTGCTCCGGACGCCGCGGGGGCCTCCTCGGTACTCCTGAGGGCACCCTGGGACAGGGGCACCTTTAGCACCCCTCGACATGGGGGGTAAGTCGGTCAGTGGGGCCAAGACGCCGACGCCGACGACGAAGACGCCGACGACGAAGACGCCGACGCCGACGACGACGACGACGCCGACGCCAACGCCGACGACGACGACGACGATGGCGACGCCGACGCCGACGCCGACGCCGACGCCGACGACGACGATGACGACGCCGACGCTGACGACGACGACGACGACGACGCCGACGCCGACGCCGACGCCGACGCCGACGACGACGACGACGATGACGACGCCGACGCTGACGACGACGACGACGACGACGCCGACGCCGACGCCGACGCCGACGACGACGACGATGACGCCGACGCCGACGCCGACGCCGACGCCGACGATGACGACGCCGACGACGACGACGACGACGACGACGACGACGACGACGACGACGACGACGACGGCGAGCACCTTCAGCGCCCCTCGCTGCCCCCTCGGCGCCCCGCCGCCCGGCGCCTCCCTCCGCGCCGGGCCGGGAGGCCACGTTCCGCGAGCACGCGTGCCCGGCGGTGGAGGGCGAGGGCCTGCAGGACCTGCAGGGCCTCTCGAGCCTGAAATCCGGCGTGTCCCTCCACGGGGGCAATGTTCAAACATAAGCAAAACGTAATATGGGGAATATTTGTTGATTATGTTTGACCATTTTGTGAGCATAAAAAAAATAATAAAACATGAAAAATAAAGAACAGCAGAAAACATTGTGTTTGTCCAAATCCCCCTGTAGGAGGACACGCCCGACCCAACTCGAGCCCTGAGGGCCTGGCGTTCCATCCTGGTCGAGCCGAGCGTCGTCGTCGGGCTTCGGGCTCCAGTCGGGTTGACCCCAAAGGGGGTCCAGCGACAAGGGAGCGGTGCAATAGATTCGGTGCAATACGGAGTGTTCAATACATTCCGGGGCGCAATGCGTTACTTCTCATACAATGCAATCCAACTCTCCAGCGCAAAACATTTGCAATACAATTGCCCCAAACCCATTGCACCACCCCCTTTCAGCTGGACCCCCTTTCGGGCCACCCACATCCAGGGGCCTCGCAGATGGATCCGGCTTGAGAAACGCAGCAGAACGATGGGGTGTCCAGGGCTCCGGTCATGATTTCCTGCACGATGCCTTCATCTTTTCGCGCCATCGGAATCGGATCTCAGGGAAGGTCTGTAGCTTCTAGGTGGCCAGACAGCGATGCCTGTTGCTTTTCGGACGCTTTTCGCAGGTTCCTGTGGGCTTCCTTGCCTCGGGATGCGTTTCAGCAGCTGCGCCTCGCCGATGGCGCTCCAGGGGTGCCCAGGTCGTCCCGGAAGGGTTGCTGGAGAGGGGGGGCCAGAGGTCAGACATTCGGACTCTGGCTGGTGTGGTGAGCGAGTGGTGTTCGGGGTCGGTCTGCCAGGGGGCCACTCCATTTCTGTACTTTGCTCCTCCTCCTCCTCATCCTCCTTCTCCTCCTCCTCCTCCTCCTCCACTCCTTTGTCTTATATAACTCCAGCCGTTCTGGCTCAGAGATTTCTGAGCTTGCCGACGCCAACTTCAGAACGGCCTGCGTCGGCGGGCCAAAAGCTTTCAGTCTTCAGCTATCGCCGCGACACCCGCAGTATGTCTGGCGATGGCTCCGTGCTCAGAGGCCCTCGTCAGCCTCTATGGACCTGCTCGCAGTGCACCCGCACAGCGAATTGGACCTGCCGTATCAAGTGCATATGTGGTGCTGCTGCCCCTCATCGTGTGGTGCAGGCAGCAAAGAAGAATGCCAAGGAGTGGGAGAAGCCGTCGCCCAGCAATACCCAGAGGGGACCGAGTGGACGATGGGCGGCGGGACCACCTCCTGACATCGTCAGACAGATCACACAAGCCCTGGACAAAAAGCTTGACCAGCGGCTCAAAGCGGCGGGGGTACGCCAGGACTCAGCAGCAACAGGTGGCGCTGCGCACGGTCAGTCTGCTTCTCGCTCAGATGCTCTTGATGATATGCGTGCAGGCAGGATCGAGTTCTTGGAAAATGCCCTCCAGCAGATGGAGCAAGTTGGTGAGTCTGACCCCGCGAAGAAGTGCTTGCAAGATCAGTTGCGTGAGGCTCGAGCTGCCCAGTGCAGCAGCAAACCACCTCTCCAGCTTCACACCAACGCTGCCTTTCGACTCCAGTCAGCACAAAAGAAGCTTGAGAAGGCCAAGGCTGCGGTGGTGGCTCAGCACGAGCTCATCACAAAGGCCCAGGCCGCACTTGCTGAGATGGTCGAGAGGGAAAATGCCATGCAGCGCGAGGTCGACGCCCTCGAGATGGAGCTGCGCAGGGCCATGCCCGTTGCGGCGGAGTCGGTGCCATGCCCCACCCTCTCGCAGGAAGTCCTGGATGCGAATGCTGATGTCAAGGATTTCCTGCAGAACCCTCTTTTCGCGAAGTACCAACAGCTGCTCAAGGAGTCGACCCCGCCGTCTACTCCACAGGAGGCAACGACACCTGCGGAAGCTGACGAACAGCCAGCAGGACAGGAAGAGGAGGAAGATGCTACGATGTACGATGGCCTGTCCGCCGAAGAAGTGGAGGAGCTCATCAAGCTCGCGGGGGGCAAGCGCCAGTTCGAGGAGCAGCTCCAAGCCATGGGGGTCAAACGCCAGAGGAAGTCTTCCTGATGTCCGCTGGCGCGACGCTCGCCCTCCTTTGGCTGGAGGAGCTGTTCCATCAAGTCCTACGATTGCAGGTTCGACTCGAGCCCAGGCAACTGCAGACCCCTCGTGCCCACATGTGCTGGGTGTCCAAGGACTTAATACGGGGGGGCGTCTCAGGAGCCTGGGCGGACGTCCTACAAATATGCCTTTCTTGTGTGGCCTGCCTGTCAATGGAGATGGGCATGTGATACCGCTGCACAAAGGCTTTCGTGACACACCCGCAGATGATAGCGTTCATTTTTCGAGTCGTTCAGTGGCAACTGCCGTGCCACACTTCTTGAACGGCTGCGCGCTTCCAACTCGTTGATTGTATGTGCGCAGGAGATTGGCACAGCGGCGGTGGCTGTCCCCGATCTTCAGCGTGCAGCTCGTGCTATGGGTTATCGGATGCTGTGCAGCCCTTCCTTCGAGCGTGATCGAGGTTCGCACTCTGCCGGGGTGGCCGTCTTTATTCGATCGGAGCTGGGACTAAGGTGGAACCCTACTGGAGGCGAGATTTGTCGTGGCAGGTTGATTTCGGTCCAGGTTGACATCCCTGGATGGCCCGAGCTCACGGTGTACTCTGCGTACCTCTTTTGTGCAGTAGGCCTGAACTCGGCCAACATGCATGCATTGAAGATGTTGGGCTCGAGCGCGTCGAAGTCGTCTGGCGCCATCTTAGCGGGAGCTGATTGGAATGTCGAGCCTCAGGTGCTTGAGGAGTCGGGCTTCACTCGCAAGGCGGGCCTGATCGCGGTGGTTCCTACGCGGCACACTTGCATCATGTCGAATTCGGCCTCGACGATCGACTATTTCCTTGGCTCTCATGATATGGTACGCTTGGTTGATAAAGTTCGAGTCTTGCAGTCGTGGCATGGGGGGCCGCACAAACCTGTGCGACTTCACCTTCGGCCTGGCGTATCGGAGCTAAAGCAAGTGGTTTATTGTTCGCACGTTCGGCTCCCCGTTCTGCCACCTTTCGGTCCCCGACGTGAGCCACGGTCGTACAGGGCGGCCCGAGAGATGGCTGAACGTGCGGTACATGCTGCTGAACATGATGGGGTGTGCGCGGCATGGCAGAAGCTTAATCGCGCCTGGACCGTTTTCCTGCAGGATGCTGAGATGGAGCTGGCGCAGGTGCTGGATTTCCCTCTCAAGTCGGGCACGCGGGATAGGTATTTGGCTCGACGATGGGTGCCAGTACTTGGGCGCAAGTTTCGCGCTGCTGATGATGTCGCGGTTTGTCGTGGGTGGCAGTGGCTATACCGTGTGTGGCATGAATTTGAAGTCGCGATCCAGGACCCTGTCTTGCATAGGAATACGGCTGGGCTCGAGCTACATCATGCGCGTCTTTCGGAGGAGTATCCAGGAGAAGGATTGGATGTCCGACTCGATGCGCAGGTGCAGGCATTTCGTGACCTTCTCCGATCGTACCCGTCTCAGCTGGATCATCCATGGTGGGACCGAGCGGCGTCTTTCTCAGCCTTCATGGTCACAGAGTTTGAGCATGCCACCAGCGCAGCTGCCAAGCTGCGCACGCAGACGTGGAACCAGTGGTGCGATGAAGCCTTGAAAGGCTCAGCGAAGCTAATGCACAAAATCACCCGGCTTCAGCAGATCTGGAACCCCAGCATAGTTGAACGATCGCCAGGTGTTTTTTTTCGAGTCGGCCTGATGACCTTCTTGCCAGTGAGGCAGAGGCTTTGCAGGCGCAGTGGCATGCATCGATTTCCCCACCTGCGGCGGAAGTACCTGATCGTGAGTGCTTCCTGAGGGCGTCGATTGATGAGATTCGCAGTGCTTCCAGAAAGTTTTGCCAGTTCACGGCGTCGACTTTGGATGGGTTCCATCCGAAGCACATCTGTCTGCTGGGGGATGCTGGCATATTCACCCTGAGTATTCTGTACGAAGCGGTGGAAAGGCTCGGGCTCTCCCCGCGACATTTTATGTGGATGGTTTTTCCGCTGATAGATAAGCCTGCAGGAGGACATCGTGCTATCCTACTCCTCGCTAGTTTGGTTCGTGTCTGGGAAAGACTACGCCGCCCCATGTTGGACCCTTTCTTTGCTGAAACGGAGAGGGACTACTGGGCCTTCGGAGCGGGGAAGACTGCTGAAGGTTGCGTTTGGGCCCAAGCGGCCCTTTCGGAGGTGGCGGATGCCAGGGATCAGGTTGTCTTGGGAGTTCAGTGGGACGGGAAGAAGTACTACGAATTTTTCCAGCTAGAACTTCTACGTGATAGAGCGTACAGATGTGGCATCCCTAGGGTTATCGTTAAGATTATGTACAACCTGTGGAGGTACCCCAGACTGGTTCGTCTAGGCCCAGCTTTTCACACAGTGGCTCTTTTTGCCTCCAGCGGTCTCCCTGCAGGTGATGCTTTCAACGATGCATTTGTGAAGGTGCATGCGCTTGAGGCCTTCGATGCTTTCATGATGAGACACCCGACGATTCGCCTATCCCCGTACACCGACGATGACACGATACTGGGGATGGGGGACAAAGCTAGCCTACTTCGAGCAGTGCCTGCAGCAGCAGCCGATTTTCATCAAATGTTTCAGCAGGAGCTACAAGCAGATATCTCGGAGCCGAAGGCGGCTACGATAGCTAACTCGGTCGGTCTAGCGAAATCTCTGGCCCATCAACTTCGCATCCGAGGATTGCCTGAAGGGATGGTCACGTCGGCGTCGCTCAACCTCGGGGTAGACTTCGCTCCAGGACAGTCTCGGTCGGCTAAAGGGGGGCTTCGAAAACGACGGATTCGATTTCAACAATTCAAGCTTCGACACCAGCGAGTATTACGATTTCGAAGATGGTTGGCACATGGAAAGCATCGGATGGCTAAGATTCACACGGCAGGCTTGAAGCCAGCCTTGTCTTACGGCAGTGCGTTGTTGGGCATGGGCGATCACGAGCTCAGACGAGCTCGTGATACGCTCCTCAGCTTCAAGGCGCCCTCGCATCGAGGGGCCTCGCTAGTGGCGAAGTGCGTGCTTCATGGCGACCCTGTTGCAGATGCTGCCGCGGCGCCTGCGGCGCAGTGGGCAGCCGCGATCTGGCAGGCGGCGGTTGCGCAGAAGCGCTCTCGCTTCACTATGATGCAGCTCGCAGATATGTTTCAGCAGGTTCATGCCAATTGAGATCCTGAGATGCCTTGGAGAAAGACGAAGGGCCCGATCGTTCGAATGCTGATGTGTCTCCAGACGGTCAGCTGGGAGCCTAAGAACTTCACGGAGTGGATTGATGATCGAGGAGTCGAGCTCTCTCTACTGTATACCTCCCCTTCCTTCATCAAGCATATCCTACGTGAGGCCGTCCAGAGACGGCATGAGCGTGACATGGCACGTAGCTTAGGCATGCAAGGAGATGGTGTGCGCGTGTGCGTTGGCTTGGTGCGCTCGTGCGTGCGTAGGTCGAAGAAGTATAGTGCACGACAGAAGTATGCCATATCTAGTTGTTTCACTAAGGCTGTGTTCACTAGTGATCGCTTGCAATCCCATGGATATGAGTCTGATGGGAAGCGTCCGTTGTGTGGCGGGCCTGATGGCCTCCATCATAGGTTGTGGTGCTGTCAAGCCCCCGAGGTGGTCGAGGCCAGGCAGAATACGTGTAGTGCGGATATAATCGCTGAGGCTGTCCAGGCGGGGTGCGAAGATCTTTTGTGGAACCGTATGGTCTTTAAGCGTCCGTCGTGCTACCTCCAGCCCCCGATCGACCAGCTGTATCCTGCTGTTGTTGGGCAGGACGGCCGCCCCCTTGAGGACCTCTCGGTGTTGGGAGATGTCGTCGGCGTCGTCGTTGATGGGTCGTGCGCGCGAAGCCCCATCCGTGAGCTCTCGAGGGCGGCCTATGCTGGCGTGTGCATGCGGTCGGGGTCCGAGGAGATAGTAGCTAGGTTTCAAGGGCCTGTATGCCCTTCCCTGCCCCAGACCCCTCAGGCTGCAGAGCAGATGGCGGTGATCGCGCCAGCTTTCGTCATGCGCCAGCCAGTCCAGGTTTACTCTGATTGCCTCGGCGTTGTTCGGATGCACAATCAGAGCCAATCTCAGGCTTTATCGAGTCGCTCGAAGTATGCTGGCCTCAGGCGAGGATTCTTTGAGCTGGAGGGGGCTCCCTTCATCGGGCAAGCTTTTCACGCGCCCGCTCATCGGGGCCTTGAGGACATCGAAGCTCTGCCGTCGACGGAGCGACGAATCGGTCTCGCGAATCGAGCGGCGGACCTGTATGCTAAGCATGCTGTGCTACTCCATGCTCGGGATAGTCAGGGGGGCCTCGAAGAGCTTGATCGGATGATAGACAGGGCTCGAGCTGCGGCGAGAGTCGCGGGAGCGGTCTTGCCCCTCTTCCCTGTCGTTCAGTTCCCTGATCGGCCCAAGGTTCCCCGACCCCGAGAGATAGGAGCCCATCGCTGGCACGCCTGGACGGCGGCCCCAGCCACTCAGGGTAGCTTCATCTGTCACGATTGCCAAGCCAGAGCAGTCAACACGTGTGCGGCCAGGCTGGAGATGAGGGGCTGCCCTGGGAAGCGTACGAATTTTCAGTTTTTGAGGGACCGTGAGAGGATGGGCCATTCTCTGGTGTTCACTCGTCTGTCGAGCGGTCCCTCCCTGGTCTTCTGTCGTCGGTGTGGGGCTTATAGTACTGAACGCCTCAGTCGACGACTCGAGAACGAATGTCCAGGCCGTCTGTTTTCCTCTGCCGCGCGTTGTCGTCTTGGCAGAATGTTGAGAGGACTCCACCCCCAGTCCGATCGTGCGCCAGGGGTGGTCCTCCATATCCTTTCAGATGTGGATCGCCTGCGGCTGCTGCAGACGCAGCAACCTCGGCGACGTGCAGTGCTCCTCCCCGCTCAGCAGAGCGAGCTCATCCCAGCGCTGGAGGCCATGCGGCGCCGCGTGGCGGCCAGGGAGCTGGGCGAGGAAGGAGGAGGTTTTCGAAGCTCGGTTTTGTTGGGGCCTCCTGGTGGGCCGCGGGGCCCTCCTTCTGGGCCCGCGGCCCAAGTGGCCCCCTCCTTGGGGCCTCGTGGTCAGGCCCAGGAGGCGCCGCCCCCAGGGCCCGCCCTCGATGCTGAGGAAGAGGCTGCCTCCTTCCTCTTCCGTTAAACAAACGTTTGTTTTACCCCTCGGGTATATATATATATATATATATATATATATATATATATAAATCCTCCCTGTCGCACCCCGAGGGAGGTCGAACGTGCGGGCCGGGTTGTTTCGCCTGAGACGTCCTCGCCAATTGAGAGCGTGATCGGTTTCATCGATGGAGGGCGGATGGTTTCCATCATGTGGCTCTCGCCACAGCGCCGCGCACATGCGTTTCGCGTAACAATTGCAAAGGTTTTGCGTATTTGGGGCGAGCGCCGCGTCCACTCGTTTTTTGACGCATTGTAAGAATTTCACGGGTTCTGGGTGGTGCGTTTTCCGAATGTGGTTCTCGCTTTAGCGCCGCGCATATTCATTGTAAACAGTCGCCAGAGTTTCACGGATTCAGGGCCCGTGGTTTTCAACGTGCGGTTTTCACTTCAGCGCCGCGCACATTCGTTTTAAACAGTTGCAAGAGTTTCGCGGGAGTGCCTGCGTGCACCACAGCGCCTCAGTACACCACACCGCCTATGTACACCACAGCAGCGGCGTGCAACACAGTGTCAGTTTGTGCCACCACAGCTCTTGCGTACACCACATCAGCCGTGTGCAACACAGCACCAGTGTACACCACAATGCCTGCGTGCATTGCAGTGCCTGTGTGCACCACGGCGCCTGTGTGCACCACAGCAACCGTGTGCAACACACCACGATGACAAAACGGAACGCTTGTGACAAAATGGAATAATTCGAAAATCCTTATGGACAACGGAGCGCCGCTGGAATCTACGAGTCCTCCCGAGTCCGCCCGCATCACCCTAATTCCTCCCGTCTGCGTCCAGGAGGTTCCAGCTAAATTGGCCGTCCGAGAGCCAAGTGGACCGATTCAATAGAGCATTCTGCGGTGCGCGTTGAGATGCGCACGTGCGGTGTAGCGCCAACCCGCACGACAGGGGGTTAGAGGAGGAGGAGGAGGAGGAGGAGGAGGAGGAGGAGGAGGAGGAAGGAGGAGGAGGAGGAGGGAGGAGGAGAGGAGGAGGAGGAGGGGGAGGTGGTGAAGGTGGAGGAGGGAGGAGGGAAGAGCGTCGCGTTCGATTGTAAGCACTTTCCTGGCGTGGCGTCTAGTTGTCCGCAGCAGATCCTCACGTACATGCTCCTTCTACTTGTCCTATGCACGCAGGCACTGTGGGGTACAACAGCGTTGCTTTGCACGCGGATGCTGTGTTGTACACGTGCGTTGTGGCGTGCACAGGCGCTGCGGTGCACGCAAGCACTGTGGTGTACACAGGCGCTGTGTATATGGTAGCTGCGGTTTACACATGTACACCGGCGCTGTAGTGTACGCAAACACTGTGGTGTACACAGGCACTGCGTTGCACACGGTTGTTGCGGCGTACGCAAGCGCTGTGGTATACACGCGCGTTGTGGTGCACCCGAGCGTTGTGGTGTACACAGGTTCAGTGGGGCATATCGCCACCTACATGCTGCTCGCGTCGTCATCGTCGTCGTCGTCGTCGCTCGTCGCTCTCGCTCGTCGCGTCGCGCGCGTGGGCGCGGCTGCGGTGCCGGAGCCACAAGGCGGGGGGGGGCGTTACGTCATACCCCACCGTCGCCCCCCCCCCCCCCCCCCCACCATGACGTCCGTCATCGCCGAACATACAGAAACGCGCTCCATGTGGCTCTCGTTTTAGCGCCGCGCACACTCGTTGCAAACATTTGTAAGCGTTTCACCGGTCTCATGGTTGACCTACCAGAAATGGCATTGTGGAACGATTCAGTACTGTCATGGCGCAACAGTTATGTTGATTCGCGATGTTGAAGTCCCAGGAAATGCATTTTGGCACGATTCAGGATCACCAGGACGTAACATTCAGATTTATTCGTGACGGCGAAGGCCTGAAGATGGTGTTTTGACACGCCTCGAGCTGTGCACACGGTTGCCCCTCAACGAGGCAATTGCCTCTGTGGAAATGACCCTTTGTAGGGGTCTACGAAGAGGGATATTAGAGGGAGGGTGTATTCCAACATGGTTGATCAGTCTTGCATGTACATTGGTCCACCTTCTCCTCCTCCTCCTCCTCCTCCTCCTCTTCCCTTCTCACGTGGAGCGGACGACAATCCAAGATTGTAGCGTCCTCCCCTCCTCCTGCTCCTCCAGCCGCTCAGTTTGATCCCCCCCAGCGGCAACTTCGGCCAGGGTGGGGGCATGGCAGCGCCCAGCCGTGGCTTCTATCGCCGGCAGCGTTAGCGCCAGGAGGAGGCGTCGTCGTCGTCGTCGTCGTCGTCGTCGTCGGGGCGCCCTCTCTGTGAGGACGTGGCGCTCGTGTGCGGGAATGCCACGGCGGGTCCCGAGCTGTGCCACGCGGTGGTGCTGCACGCGCAGGCGGGGGGGGGGCTCGGCGAGTCGCTGCCCAGAGCCTCAGAGCCCCGCGGGCGGGCGGGCAGCTCCGCCTGCCGCTTCTCGGGGGCCCCCGAACGGTGTGGTGACCGCGCAGCGTGGTGAGTCGATGGGGATTCGGGGTGCCTTGGCATCGCTCGGACGTGCACATTTTTCCCCACATCCTAGGGGGTTTTGGTTTTCTCTGGACACCCCGCGCAGTCCTGTCCCCACACCCCTCTCGCCCCATCACTCTTTTGATTCGCCACACCTGACCATCGCCATCGCTATCATCATCATCACCATCATCATCATCATCATCATCATCATCATCATCATAATCATCATCATCATCACCATCATCATCATCATCATCATCTTCATCATCATCATCATCATCACCATCATCATCATCATCATCATTTTCATCATCATTATCACCATACTCATCATCTTCGTCACCAGAACCAACTCCGCGATAGGACAATCACCATCATAGCCGTCTTGCTCATCATCCAAACAGCATCAGCACCTCATTCATTCAATCACCCATTCGATCGCCATTATGCACTTACTCAGTCAGTCGCAGTTTCACAATGATCATCACTATCACCATCACCACCATCAGCATCGCCATCATGCTTGGACATGGAGGAAGTATCAAGCGGGAGAGTCGTCTGTGAGAGAATGTCGAGGAAGCTTCAGGCGGGAACCCCTTCTTTGTGTGGTCTCCGCTTCATGTTGGTAATCCGAGCGGGTCATCCGCAAACCTGTAATTGTCGTGATGTTCGAGGTCATCATGCCTGGCCATGGAGGAATTATCAAGCGGGAACCTCGTCTGTGAGTGAAGCGAGAGGAAGTCTCAGGCGGGTGCCCCCCTTTCCCTATGGGGCCCGCATTTCACGTCGGTAATCCGAGCGGGTCATCCGCAAACTTGTAAGTGTTGTGATTTGTGTTGAGCCGTCATGCTTGAAAATAGAGGAAGTATCAAGCGGGAACCTCGTTTGTGAGTGCATTGCGAGGACGTCTCATGCGGGGGCCCTCCTCCCTATGGGGCCCGCACTTCAGTTATTAATCCGAACGGGTCATTCAAGGAGGTCGCCGAGCTGCTGCTTCAGGGCGCCAAACGCGCTGATGACGGCGCCGAAGCCGTGGCGCGTGCGAGGAACTTGTTCATGTTCAGGCCCAGAGAACACGAACTCACCTGGCAGTGTTCGGGGGCGCGCGTCGTGCGCCGCTCGGGGTTCACCGTGACGCACGCGTCTTGCCTGACCTCCACGCTGTCGCAGGGCCAGACGTTGCGCAAGGGCGTCACCATCGACTGCACCAGGAATGTGGGCGATGGCCGCGCGAGGATGTCGGACGAGCAGTGCTGGTTGCACCTTTACGTCATGTTCGCCCGCGCCTTGCGCATACGGAACATGCTGATCCTGCGGCCGCCAGCGCGTGAGTTCCTGGAGCGCGGGCCGCCGGCGTCTTTGCGGAAAACGCTCGTGGAGTTCGACCAGACAGCGGTGATCTTCACGGCTGAGGCAGAGCAGCTTGCGGCAAACCTGGGCTTCGCGCTAGCCCCCGCCTGAGCGCGGCCGCGTCTGGGCTTCGCGATCCCGTCATCGGAAAGCGCGCCCGTGCCGGCCGCGGCGGCAAAAACGCTTGGGACAATCTATTGGGCCCGGCTAAGAGGCAGGGAGGATGCACGGGGAAAGCGCGCGGGACAATGGGGGGGATGCCGAAGAGGAGGGCGAGGAGGAGGGCGAGGAGCTGGAGAAGGAGGAAGGAGAGGAGGAGGAGGAAAAGAAGGACGAGGAACAGGGGGGAAAAGGACGGGGAAGGGAGGAGGAGGAGGAGAAGGAGGAGGCGGAAAAAGGAGGAGGAGGAGGAGGAGGAGGAAGAAGAAAGGAGGATGCGGAGAAGGAGGGGGGGAAGGAGGAGGGGGGAAGGAGGAGGAGGGGGACAGGGAGGAGGAGGAGGAGGAGGAGGAGGAGGAGGAGGAGGAGAAAAAAAAGGAGGAGGGGGAGGACGAGGAAACGAAATGCGGGAATGATGAAGATGATGACGATGATGGTGATGGTGATGATGATGATGATGATGATGATGATGATGATGATGATGATGATGCGGATGAGGATGATGATGAGGAAGGAATATGATATTGATGCGGGTGCGAGTGGTGATGATGATGATGGTGGTGATGGTGATGATGGTGATGATGGTGATGCTGATGATGGATGCGGATGAAGCTCAATAGGATGATGCGGTTGATGGTGATGATGGTGATGATTATGACGACGGCCCTGGTGATGATGATGATGATGATGATGATGATGATGATGATGATGATGATGATGATGCTGATGGTGATGATGGTGATGATGGTGATGATGATGATGATGATGATGGTGGTGGTGGTGGTGATGAGGAGGAGGAGGAGGAGGGGGAGGAGGAGGCTCGACAGAGGGCGGGGGGACGGCCTCCGCAAACGCAAACAGGAAACCGCGAGGGGCAAGCTAAACAGATGCCACTGCGGGGTCCCGCCATCGGAATAGTTTTTCGGCGGGGACCATCGGGGAGCATATGGGCCCGTCGTGCGAGCAACTACACGCACGAAGTTTAGTGCATTGGGAATGGACGTCCGAGCGATGGCGAGGTGCTGCCGTCCAACAGTGCGGGGAGTTTCTTGGAAGGCCGGGGGCGTTTGAAAGGGGCCCACGGGGGATTTCCAGATGGTTTCTTGTAGGCCGGAGGGTTCCTCAGAAAGCCCCACCCTTCCTGGGGGGGGGCGCAAACGGTGCGGTGACCACACCCTGTAGTGAATCAGAAGAGTCGGTGTGACCTCGCGGCTTAGAAACTATGGTCGCCATCCGATGACGTCTGGTGTTCTTGGGATGCCAGGGTCCCTAAACCGTGTAGTGACGGACCATGCGGTCGAGGGCCGCGCTCAAGCCTGCCAGTGTTTTCTGTACGAGGGGAGTTGGCACGGAAAGAATGTGAAGGAGGACGGACATGATATTCTGTGCATTTAATAAAGTTCGTTGTCGGTGTCGCCGTGGACGTTGTCCATTTGAAATATATAGGCCGCCTGTCCCAAAACTGCGGCTGCTTGTGTTGCTTAATTTGTGCTGTTGGGCGTGCCCGTTTCGGATGTGCCAATGTGCGAGCAGTCCCGCTCTCCCTCCAAGAGCGTGCAGTCGAGACGCTGAAGTAACGATCGCAATGTGCTCTGGAGGGGCTCTCGTTTCTCAGTGGAGGACAAAGCACCGATACCGTTGCTTGTCTTGTATAGTCTTCGCCACCACGGCTGGATTACCAGCAAAGGTTTCTGGTCAGAGCGCACCTGGGAGAGGTCCCGGGAGTAACGATATCGGCACCTATATGGTTCCCCCAGGGAAGCGCAGTCGAGGCGTCGAAATGATGGCCACCCCGGGCTCGGGAGTGAGGTGAAGGGGAGGAGGAAAAGGAGGACCAGTGTAAACCCAAGAGGCATCACCGGTGTTGGAATAAACCCTCCCTCCAAGCCCTTCTTCATAGGCTACCTCCTGCCTCCCCTTTCCCCCCGAACTCCTACAGTCAAGACGGCACCAGAAGGACCATTTCGGCCTCTGGAGCGGCTCTGCTTGTCGGGCCGCCCCTCGGCCTCCATTCGGGGCTGGGGTTTTCGCCGTGGCAAGACGAGCTCCCTCGTTCCTCCTTGGCGTTCCCCGCAGCATCACGATGTGACTGTACAGCTCCGGACGCTTGCTGGGAGAATGCACAGTGACATAAATATAAAAACTCGGGGGTCCGCCCCAGGCGCGCTCCGCGCGCCATGGAGGGGGGTCCAGCGCCGATCCGAGAAATCCGCGCGGGCCTCCGAGTTTTCATGTTTATGCCCTCATTCGTTCCCCCATTTGCTCCCAACCTCGCGCCGGATGCTGTTCGCAGTGGCTCGGCTTCCGGCTTCCCTGGGGCTCTCGGCAGAAATGGCCCGGGACGGGTCGCCAGGTTCAAGAGACACCTGAATCGGCCCAAACCGCTTGCGCGGCGCGCAGCATTTGTTTGTCTGTGGCTGCAGCATGTCGGTGCGAAGCCTGTACCGCTTGGGGGGAATCAGCGCTTGCCGTGACAAAAATCAACGGGTTTTGTTCGACTTGGGCCATACGTTGCTTTGAGTTTGTGCATCTTGTGGTCAGCATCCGGGCGCGGCCGATTCGATTCGACTCCGCCCAAGGCATCCTCGCTCCATTTATTCCACGCGTGGACCCCGAGTTGTCTCGACCACTTCCCTAGGGCGGGTTTCTCATCATGAGGCGTTTTTGACCAGCCCGAGGCACGTTGCTGGCCTCCTTGGAGACCGAGCCAGATGGGCCCACAACTGGCCGCTCCAATTTTCTGTTGGAGCCTCGGATCTCTCGGGCCCGATTCGATGAACGCATCGATCCGACACGACTCACGAGGACGACGACGACGACGACGACAGCCACTGCGACGACGACCACGTCGTCGTCGTGGTCGTCGTGGTCGTGGTCGTGGTCGTGGTCGTGGTCGCCGTCGTCGCCGTCGGCGTCGTCGTCGTCGTCGTTGTCGTGGTCGTCGTCGGCGTGATCGTCGTCGTCGTCCTCGTCCTCGTCGTCGTCGTCGTCGTCGTCATCGTCGGCAGGGTCGACGTGGTCGTCGTCGTCCTCGTCGTCGTTGTCCTCCTCACCTCCTCGTCGTCGTAGTCGTCGCGGTCGTGCCGATGCGACCCGACCTCTCCGGATTCGCTGCCGACTGCTCCTGCAGGGCGGCCGCGTGGCGGCGTGCCCGGCGGCGGCGGCGGCGGCCGCGGAGCCCGCGCCGCAGGGCGGCTCTGCAGGCGCCCCCCCCCCTCGCTCGGCGAGGCGGGGGCCCGCCAAGCCGGCAGCCGGCCGTGCGAGCGGCACGGTCCCTCAACGGCACCGTAACGGGTACTTACTAACGGGTACTTTGAATTTTTGCCGAAAGTTGCCACTTTAGGGCCTTTTTCTTGCATTGCAGTTTTGCCCACATCGGGAAGGGTTGGGTTCGCCAGGTCACTGGCCAAAGTACCCGTTAGTGGAGTCCCCGTTTGAGGGTGCTGAGTCCCGGCGTCCTGGTGTTGGTCACCACCCACCAAACCACCCCAACCCAAC